CACTGGTGACTGCATCCCCAGATCGGATACCACGTCGCTTCTTCTCCTTAGAACAAACGCTGTGCCTCTTGTTCACTGTGATGGCCCTGCTGCCTTTTTCTTCTCCTCCCGCTCTGGCCCCCAGAGCAGCCCCTCCTGGCGAGTCTGCTTGTCTCTCAGCCAGTCGCTGCTCTTGGATCCCACAGGATCCTGAACTTTAGCCTCAGCCCGAAGGGAGCTAATCCTAAGGACAGACCTAGGTATTCAGAGATGAAAACCTCTAGACCCTGTGAGAGAAGACGGTAACCCCCAAACTACTCTCCCCGAGCTGCGGATCATGCTGGAACAGGCAGGAGGTCGGTTCATCAGCTTGGGCTTTGCGGCACTCCCGCCAAGGGGCGGGGGGAATATTCAGTAGCTACAGCCTCTGGTCCAGCAGATGCAACACGGCTTCTTAACCTGGGGTTCGTGAACTACCATGCAGTCTGTGGAGAGGTTATGAAGGATCTAAGCATCTCCTGAAGCGGTGTACTGAAATGAGTGGCTGTTCCTCGGGGAGAGATCATTCTCAAAGGGGGCTATGACCTCCACACAGTTAAGAATTCCCTCGCCAGAGTCAGCCTGCCTCCGCGGTGCAGTCCGGCTGTCAGGACCGATCTCTAAAATATATGTTGGAATGGCATGCCTCCTTTAGGAACAGAATGGTCAGAAGAAATTGTTTCGCCCCCTACTGAATGGAATGCCTATCATAATCTTTCAGATGCCGAGACGGGGCTTACATAAACCAAAATGGGTACAGAAGAAAGGACATCATAACCTTGTCTCCCTCACTTCTCTGAAACTCTCTTTGGGACCCGATCCGAGTACTCTGGGGCCCGGCCTATCCTGGTATCTTCTCTGGGCACGGGCTCTGTTCTGCCATCTGATAGAAACGGCACGCTCCTTGGGGTCCTTGCTAGTTACTGCTTTGCTCCACTGGAAAAGGGTCAAGCCTCACCCCCATATGGGCCACTCGCTGTACCCTGACCAGAACGAAATAGGAAGAAAGGGCAAGGGAGGAGTCGCTGCCATTCAGGCAAGTATGGCCGTCTCCCTTGGTCAACTGGTCAGTAGGAAGCTCGTCCTCCCTGGCTGAAAAAGCCGTACCTCTTTAAAAATGACGTCCCCATCTCAACCACCAGCAGGGAATGCATTCCTACCTTCTCCTTGAAGGACACATTTAGCTGGATCGACCTCTTTCGTATTGATGGCCCCGTAAACTTCATAGCCACGGCACCGGCCTGCCTTCTGCTGAGGAGAGAAACATATCTTATCGCTTACTCCAGGATGGGTGCTATATTCCACTTTGTTCAGCTTCCTGAGCCGTTCTACCACCACGCCCTTGGTGATGAGGATCTCCAGGTCCGAGCCGCTGGTCAGCAGGTGCTCGGTGAACTCCACGCCGGTCCGCATGTCAGCCAGCAGCTGCTCCAGCTGCGCCTTCTGCAGCTGCAGGGAGTTCTCCTTCTGGACCCGGATGTCTTCCAGCTGCTTCAGCAGCCTGTCCCGGTGCTCCTCAATGGCCTTGACATAGCCCTCGGAGAAGGCTCGCACCTCGGCCGCCACGGCCTCCACGCGCGCCTGGAGGGCGCTATTCATCTCTTTGATCTGCGCCAGGGCTTCCCCCAGGGCCTCCACGTGGGGCTGGGTGCCTCTGAGAAGCTCCCTCACGGAGTCCCCGTGCTTGTGGATGACATTGCTCGCGAAGTCACAGGGGTGCTCCCGGTGCTCGCCCACCACGCAGTCCCGGCACACGGGCCGGTCACAGAGCTCGCAGAACAGTCTCAGCTCCTCTGCAGGGTGCGCGGGACACAGAATGGGCTTCCCGATCCTGCTGTAGCCTTTCAAGTCTCTCAGGTCCACCATCGTATGGTAAGTTGTCTTCTTCTGCCGCCTATGGGCAAACAGAGTCAGGACCGGGGCATTAGGGGACAATTCAGTTGGGACACAGTCTGTCAGTTTCAAAAGCATGGGCTCCGAAGTCGAACCGATCTGAGTTCAGTCCCTTGCTCTACCCTCGTACTAACCACAGGGGCCTCTCTGACTCCAGTTCCTATCTGTCCCAGGGGGGTGGTTAATATCTACCTGAAAGGGCTACTGTGTTGAATAAAGTGATCGTGGACTAGGGCTCTCTGGCCTGGAACGGGACTTTGCCAAAGGCTGCAATGCTAAGACTCCATCCTGAAGCTTTCTCTGAAGAGTGAATGTGGCGAGTTTCAACGACAGCCTCTGCCTGCCCTGTCAGCAAGCTAGAGGTGAGAGCAAGGGGTAACACAGCACCAAGAGACAGAAACCGGGCAAGATGGCACAGCACCACACCCTCGGCAATTAAACAGTGTCTTAGCCAGTGGTGATAGCAGGTGTCTCTCAACTTGCACCTAAGATTTTGTAAAGCATTTCCTCCGACAAGCGCCTCCATCACCCCAGAGCAGCAAGCTAGACTTTTCCACGTGTCATCGAAATTATTAGAGTGAAATCAGTGGTCAGTAGGATCACAGTTCTTTTAATTCCCTTTTTCTGGAGCCTTCTAGAGATTCAGGGAAATCCCTAGGAAACCTGATGACTGTTGAGAGATCCTCTCCACCCTCCTCACCCCCCACCGCTGCCCCTGCAACTGTTAGCATTATATTAACACGTGGGATTGGAGCTTGCATGCCTATTCTGGCCCCAGAAAAGTGGCTGTAGAGAAAAACAGGGGCAGCTGTTTGACTGGCCGCAAGGCAGTCATAACTGCCAGTTAAAAATAGACTGAAGACTACTAACTTGTTCAGTTGGCGAGACCAGAAACCAAATGGAAGGCAGAATTTAGAAACTATTTTAAGCTAGTCCTAAAATCGTGGCTAGTTTCTATTCTGATGTCCTGGAATGGGGGAGAAGGTTGACAAGGGACAAAGGAGTGGTTCGTGTGACTAACGATTCACCAAATGCCACGATGAGAGACCTAAATCTGCACCGCACCAGGCACCTATCGGCCCACCCGTCCAAGCTCCAGAATGACTCTAGGGTACAAGGCAAAGGCTGAGGTGGGGCGTGGCCAAATAGCAGCTTACACCGAGAGGGGACCATGGATTAGCAGAGAGCACAGAATGCGGCCAGAAGCCCTAGATGTAAATTCGGTTCGGTTACGTGCTACTTCCCAGCTGGGGGACCTTGGCAATCACAGAGCGTTGAGCAAAAATAATAAATATTTCCTCAAATAATAAATGGGAGTGAAAACAGTGCCTGCTTTTCTATAAGAGCTGCGAGGCATCAAATGAGATCAAGGTCAGAGGCTCTGCTATTATATTCATTCTTCTGTTTATCCAGCACCCACTACAGTTATTCTTGATACAAACGATCAGTGATCCAAGGAAACAGTGCTTCGCGAACCACCCAAGGACCATGCAAACCTTTGATTCCATTATCACTCCAGGAATATGCAAGGCTTCAGGAGTTAACTACCGCCCTAGAGTATTTATTGCAGCATATATTGCTATTTGACCTTACATGGCATTTGAGAGAGCTTTCCGTCCCATCTGCTCACAAGGGAGTTCTCAGTTGACACCTCTTTGTATTCTGCCCTTAAGCTACACCAGGTGGGGTATCCCATCTTTACCTATGAGCCTGGCAGCAGAAGTGGCAGAGATTGGCTTTGCAGGTCTGACATCTCTTCTCCACTTCCCTGTCGCTGCACAGGTCACACACCAGGCCCTGGCCTTCCGCACGAAGACTCTCCAGCATCACATCATTCATGGCCAGGTGGTCTATGGTTAAAGCCTTCACTCCACCCATGGGCAGGTCCACCTGAGCATCACATACCGGACACAGGATGCCGATCTGGGGTTGCAGACTGGGTGGCTTGAGTTCCTGGAATATTGACCCCTCAGAGCTGGTGTCAGAGTCACCCCCTCGGATGTCCACTACTGAGAAGGGCTCCAGCTGCTCCAGACACATGGTGCAGACTGTGTGCAAGCAAGGCAAGAGCCTGGGGGCTGTGAAGAGCCCCATGCACAAAGGGCAGTGAGTCTTGCCTGAGCTCCCAACTGCAGTCCCACTGGGGAGTTTGCCCACCAAGCCCAGCAGCGGTTTCCTGTTTTCTGACATACTCCCCACGTTTGTGCCCAGTATCAGGAAAGGCTCTGGGTAGTTCTATAATGGAGCAGTAGGTGATTAAGCCCACCCGAAGATAAAGTTTCCAGAGCTGGAGCACAGACCATGGGAACTCTCTCTTCGGGAAAGCAAAGGACAAAAAGGTAGAAGAGTCAAAGGAACCACCCACCGATCTAGTTATGAGCTCCCCCTCCTTTCCACGGCATCCCATACCAGACGCGCCCACACCCTCCTCTGCCCCCCAAATCCTCCGCCCCGGAAGCGCTTCCAGGTCTAAGTCTAGAGCTGGTCCTGCTGCCGACTCCTGGACCTTTGCACCTCTCACTCCCTCCTCGACCACCCCCCTCCCGCCTCCCGTCCCAATGGCCCTGCGCCCGACACGCGGCAAGCGGCTCCCCCGCCCCGCGTGATGAGGTCGGCGTGGTGGGCCTCCCGCTCCGTCCCTCGACCCGGCCCTTCGCGGACCGCACAGGGAGGGTAAGGCAGCTGCGAGTCTCGCCGGCTCGTCGGCGGCCGCCGCCTCCCCGACACCCCGGCCCAAGGTGCCCGATGGCTCCGGCCCCTCCTCGCACCAATCCCAGCCCGGGTGTATTCAGGCGAGTCCAATCACCGTCCGAGAGGGGCGGCCCTCGCCGCTGAAGGTCCCGCCTCCCCCCGGAGTGACACCGCCAGCATCCAATAAACTTTGGGAGTTCCACATCTTCGCCGGGCCACTCCGACGGCGAGGGGAGGGATCAAACTAAGGCCCGGGGGTCGGCCGGCGGGAGGGCGAGGGCGGAGGGGAGGAAGAGAGGGAGGCTGGAAGTGAGCGGCATAGTATAACCAGCGTCACCCTTTCACGGGGACGATCCCTCTATCTCTGTGGCGACCAGAGAGGCCAGAGGACTGCTTACAAAGCCCCGCCGGTCATCCACGGGGGACGACCTCATTTGCGCCCTCGGATTGGGCCCACGAACCCAGACCGGGCCCTTCCATTGGCGGGCGGAGCTGTCAGTTACTCAGCGCACAGCTTGCTGGGAGTTGTAGGCCGAGGAGTCCTTGTCCCGGAGGCTTCGGGCGCTAAGAAGGACTTTTCTGGTGGGCTGGTGTGAGCCCGCGAGTTCCCGCCCCGGCCTCCCCAGTGTATTTTAGTTCAGGAACCCCCCAGGCCCAGCGCGCAGCTTCCAAGAGCTTCTTTTCCCGGGCCTACGGGCCCGGAGGTTGTGGGGACCCGTCTGCGAGACCGAGGGCGGTTCCCTGAGGCTGGAGATGCCGTTGTTTGACCCGTCGGGGCCCAGGGCGCGGAAGACCTGAGGGTTAGGCGTTTGTCCCCCAGAAGCCTACAGTTCCGTACGCCAGAAACGGAGCAAGTTTGTCCGCCTGTTTGGCTCCGTCAGTCCAAGGGGGCCCGTGACTGGTCACAATGGGAGAGTGGAGGATGGCCAAGAGGGAGGAAACCCTTTGTGGACTCACAGAATAATCTGGAAGATGGACGCGACAGGCAGCCTTGGCAATTTCTTGGCCTCCTTCTTCAAGTAGCCTGATTCGGCCCTGGGAGGGCTTTGCCACAACCCCAGATCTGGGACCTGTATCTCCACCATTTCCAGAAATGGTAACACTCTAGCTCCTTCCCTTCCACTGTTCTCGCTACTTCCAGTCCCTTAAGCTTGTGTGTCTCGCTGGTTTATAACCCACAGCCTGGTTACCTCACTGCTGGCTTTGGTCATGACCTTCCCTAGTTGACTAGGATCCAATGGGCAGCTGTTTCATTGATTTCATGCTCTAGGCACACTTTGCCTGGAGACTAAGCTTAAAAAATACAGAATCTGAAACGCCAAACAAAGCAAACTAAAACTTGACTCTAAAGTATGAAAACTAAACACATCAAAAAACTTTATAACATTCAGTTTTGAGAAAGAGAGACAGAGCGTGAGCAGGGGAGGGTCAGAGAGGGAGGGAGACACAGAATCTCAAGCAGGCTCCAGGCTCTGAGCTAGCTGTCAGCACAGAGCCCCATGCGGGGCTCGAAATCAGGAACCTAGACGAAGCTGGCCACTTAACCAACTGAGCCACTCAAGCGCCCTGCAAATTATAAACATTTTAAGAAATGGAAATGTTTGACCATTTCCAAAATGTAACACGGCAGTGAGTCAAATGCCACTGTTATATAAAATTATTTATGATTTCTAAAAATAAGTATGAGCACGATGGTCTTAAAAAATAGTTCTTACCTAGATTTCTTCGGCTTCTCCTCCTCACTCACTCTGACTCAGACTCTTCTTTCTGCACCCTGGGGTGCTGGGAGTAAGTCACAAAAACCGTGCAGACTTGTGTTTGCTATAGATCCTTGTTCTGACCATCACCTGATTGATGCTTGGTGATGCTTTGCTTCTTCTCTTATTCATGTGTTCTATCCCATTTCCTGTGGTCGGTGTTCCCAGCTTCTCTTGTTTAAGAGGTGCTATATATATAATTTACGTGTACGTTATTTAATTTCATTCTTTAACAGCTCTGTGAGGAAACTGAGTCTCAAAGAGGTCTGGTGGCCCGCCCAAGGTAACCTATCCGAGACTTGAACGCTTGTCTCATGATGTCATGTTTAAGATTCCACCCTAACCATCTCTGCCCTTTCCTTTCCCAGTTTCTTAAGCATCTAATGCCTTATGTGCTCAGCAGGCAGCTACCTTGAATGGGGTGAGAAAAGCGAGACTATCTGGAGAACTCCGTCACGTTTCTACTTAAAAAGCTCTGGTTTGTCACACCTCCTCTCGTACCCAGCCTGACTGCCTTTCTTCTGTTCCTCAAGACCTTTGCTCTTTACTCTAACCTTACCTGTTTCTTCAAGACTTTGCTGCTCCTACATTTTCAGTCACCCCTTTACTAGTGTGTTCTTTCTGCCAAGAGTTATGATCAAGTCCTAAAGGGGGAGGCAGATCCTCCCTTGACTTCGCTGGCTTTCAACCTAACTGACTTTTGTGACTCTCGCCACTATATTTTTCACAAGAGTTGTCCCACTTCCTGTGTTCCTCACCACCCATTTTTTCCCTCCCTCAAATAAACTAACTCCTTCTCCTCTAACAAAAAAATTTTTTTAATGTTTATTTATTTTTGAGACAGAGACAGAGTGGGAGACACAGAATCCGAAGCAGGCTCCAGGCTCTGAGCTGTCAGCACAGAGCCGGACGTGGGGCTCAACTCAGAAACCACAAGATCATGACCTGCGCCGAAGTGGGATGCTTAGCACTTAACTGACTGAGCCACCTGGGCGCCCTGACTCCTCTTTTCCGTTGAAACTTTTCACTCGTAGATGACAGGTGACCAAATTACTTTTCTCAATATGCAGCCTCTTCGGTGCTCAACATTGTTATATACTTCCTCATCCTTAAAAGTTGCTTCCTTCTTCTGAATACTCTACCTAATCTCTTCTCACACTCCCCTTCCTCACTGGTTTCCCTTCGTTCTCTTTAATCCCTACCTTTTGTTTTTTATTTGTCCTGTAACAAGGGTGATTCCCACATCCACGCTTTGTCCCCTGAGCCTCAGCTGCAACTATTCTAAATCTGCACCCAAATGGGTCCCCATCATCTTAAACCCCACACACCTTAAATTTCACTGAACTTTTTTGCTCACTGAACTGTGCTCTCTGGATCTCCCTATTTTATTCTCTCAAGGACATCATTATTCCCCCTTCTTTCCAGCTGGAAACCTTATACTGTTCCCGGTGTCCTGTCTCTTTTTCCGTGTCCAGGCAGGTACCAATTTCTTTCCATTCTCACCGCCAGCATCTTACTGCACAGAATTTAGGATGATACAGGACCCTTACCTGTAGGGTTAACACCCTCACCTCAGATATTATAGTCATTGCTGAATTATTCCTGCCCTCCATTGTTTTTTCCAATCGATCCTACAGTTTTCCCCAAATTGATTGTAAAAACATGTGAAAACGTGTTATGAGTCAGTCCTCATTCTAAAGTTTCACTAGCTCCCTATCTCCATGGGATAAAATTTTGTTACCCTCTAAACATTGTCAAACACACTTCTTGGTCTTTGCCAGTTGTGTCTGCAGAATTCTTCCACCTTTATGATATAAACCTACCCTTCCTTTGAGGTCAGGCCCGCTTTACACTACCTTCTCGAAATTCCCCGCTGCTTCAGAGCTCCAAGTTTGAGCTCCAGTAGCTCTTTTCCTATACTTTGCTCTTTTCAGTTTGTGTTGCATGGTAGTATTAAGTGGTTTATTATGCATGTATATATGGGTACATGGATATATGTATACACCACACACATGCACAAATATGCTCTGTCTCTCTATTAAGATGGGAACCCTTGGGAACCAACCTAGTTTGGATGAGGCCGGGAACAATGATCTCAAATAAAGGATAAACAGGACTACAGGTAACCAAGAGTTTTGTGGCTCGTGCAAGACCATAGGCTATATGGCGTGAGGTCACAGGAGAGGATTAGTTAAGGATTCTCCTTTCCCAGAATCAGCTCAGTGTTTTTATTCCATGCTAACGTACTGCTTCGTCTTTCTGGTAACCCCAGGCAGCAAATAGTTACAGGGAAGGACAGAAGTCACAGGGTCAGAAGAATGGCACTGATGAAAGTGATCAGGTTCACTTTTGCAGCCCAAGACAGGAAAAGTACCAAAGGCAGGAAGGATGGAAATGCAGAATGACCCATCAAGAAACCAATCAGAGCTTGCTCGGACATTCTGATTGATTAGCACCACCAGAGACTGAGTATATGTAGAAAGTGCACCAGAGAGCTATGTCAGACTTAACCTTCCACCGTATACTTCTTTCTCACTCACCGTCCTTCCTTCCTGCCTTCAGAGGAAAGAGAATACTTTCTCCTAGGATCTGTGCTCTGAGGCCCAGCCTCCTTTGTCTCTTCCCTCTCCTCCGTCTTCATCTGTTCCTTTCTGGTGGATCATTCTTTCAATTCCTTTTTTTTTTTTTAAATTTTTAAGTGTCTCTATTTTATTTTGAGAGACAGAGACAGAGAGCAAGTGGGGGAGGGGCAGAGAGAGAGGAAGACACAGAGTCTAAAGCAGGCTCCAGGCTCTGAACTGCCAACACAGAGCCCGACATGGGGCTTGATCCCACGGACTGTGAGATCATGACCTGAGCTGAGGTCGGACGCTTAACCAACTGAGCCACCCAGGCGCCCCTGGATTTTTCTTTCAACTCCTACTCATTCTGAAGCCTCCAACCCTATGCCCTTCTCTCGCTCCTGATTCCCCTTGGCCTCTTAAAAAGAATAGTCTACACTTGCTTCTCTAATTCTTGCATTTTACTGCTAAACACTAGGATCCGGCTTTTGCTGTCACCATTTCTCTGGAAATTGCTTTTGCCAGAGTCCCTGATAACTTCCAACTTGTTAAATCCAGTGGCCACTTTTCACTTACAATTGAACAGAATTTGCCGTCATGGTTGTTGGTTTGTTTGTTTTTTAAGTAAGCTTTACGCCCATTGTGGGGCTGGAGCTCACAACCTGGAGACCTACAGTCACATGCTCTACCAACCGAGCCGGCCGCCCCTGCTGTGGACATTGCCACATTTCTTCTGGAAACTTTCTGCTCCTTTGGTTGCTGTAACACTGTTCTTGGTTTTCCTTCCACTTCCTGCCTCTCTAACCAACCCTTTTCTTTCTCCCTGCAGTGCACTACTTCCACCTGGCTCTTAAGCACTGGTATTTCCTAGGGTCCTTGGCCCTACTTAAAAAAAAAATCTTCATTCTCCCCTGATTCAGAGGCGGCATTTAGAGAGCACTAGCCCACATTTTGTAGGGGGGCTCTTTTTTGTTTACCGTTACCGTCAGCGCCCACATCATATCTCTGAATTTACCCCTTCCTTCCATCCCCATTATTCCTGCTTTTTAGTTCAAGTCCTTATCATGCTTTCTTTGGATTACTAGTTAGTGTCCCTGTGCCCAGTCCATTCTCTATGATCCTGTCAGAAATCTTTCTGAAACCCTAATTTGACATTGATCTTCAGTGGCTATTCAGGACCTTCATTTATTCATCAGATATTCTTTAAGCTCCTGGAATATGTTTCCCCCAAATGTCTTCAGGGCTTGCTCCCCTCTAGAATAGTGATGAGGGCAGGAACTTTTGACCGTGTCCCGGGATACAACATTGTGTAGAGCAAAACACCCTGCTTTCGTGGAATCTGGGTCTTCTAGGAGGGACTTCTCTTAACCCCACCTCTGCCAGCCTCTTCAACCTCATTTCTTTTACTGCTGCACCCGGATTTATTTTTTAAGAGCCTGATTCCTAAAAGAGTCTCTAGCGCCATCTAGTGGAAGTGGCTGCAATAGAATGCTCTCCCTTCTTCCAAAGCTTCAGACCGTCCACACTTCTATTTTGCTTATTTTGAACGGAGATGGGCATGAAAAAAAAATTTGGTTGCATTGCTTTATGGCTGCTTTGCATTCTATAGAAATTCACTGCACCTTGAGATGTTTCGTTTTTAAAAAAGTGTTTATCTTTGAGAAAGGATGTGTGCCCATGTGGAAGGGGGTGGTCCAGAGAGAGAGACAGATGATCTGGCACAGAACTGGACATGGGGCTTGAACTCACGAACTGTGAGATCCTGACCTGAGCTGAAAGTCGGACGCTCAATGGCCTGAGCCACTGAGGTGGCCCGAGATATTTCTAGTTGTGAGATCTAATAAGTATAAATAGTTCCTTAGAACTGATAGTTTATGTTAACTGGGCAGCTCTTCAATCTTGAGAAGGTGTGGGGTGAAAGGCCTAGAATGATCTGAGCTTTGGAGCTGTCCTTGTGTAAGTACAGTCAGTCTGACCAGAACTAATTGAAACACATAAGTTCTGTTGTTACTTATTACCCACCGTTTCAGAAAAAATTCTCCGTAATCTTTAACCTCATCTCGCTTGAGTCCTAGCTGTCTGACCAGATGCTCTCCCCTGACCCCAAACATTCCATAGTTGATGTAGTCAGGAAGCTGCACCCAATCTCAGTTGGTTTGGCATAAATATAAGCTATTCTTAGACGGTACTTTATTACACACTTTATTCATGTTACTCATTTTCTGTGAATTCCTTTTCTCTGTTTATGAAATAATAACGCTCATTATTAACCTTTTATGAAATAAATGTTTTATGAGGCATCTGATAGATTAACGTATTTGCTAAAAAATTAATGTGGATAAACGCTTTGTGATTAGATTATCTTTTATATAAATTTATCTTCCCCATAAAATGTACGTAAATAAGTTGGGTAATAATATAAAGAAAATGGCACATTTCGAGGATGGATTTTTGTTCTGTGCATGGTGATAATTCTTGTGATTAAAATTAGAGCAGTAGTTGCAGATGCTCATACTGGTGTGTTAGAGAACAGAGAGTAAAAGGCACGTTTTAAGTAAATCAACAAACAAAAAGTCACACCTGTATGCGTAGAGAACAAACTGGTGGTTGCCAGGAGGGAGGGAAGCGGCGGGGGGAGGGCAAAATGGATAAAGGGCGTTGGGAGACACAGGTCCTGGAATGAATGGGTCACGGGAATAAAAGGCAGCAGTGTAAGGAATATAGTCGATGATGTATGGTGACAGATGGCAGGGACACTTGTGGTGAGCGTGGCCTCGTGGTTAGACTTGCCAAATGACTATGTGATGTGCCTGAAATGTAACATTGTGTATCAACTACACTCAAATACAATTAATGAGAAAGAAGAAAAAATAAAAGGCATGTTCTTCACTCTTTATAATATTGCGTATGCTGTGTTTTCCCCCTTAGGATTCTTCTGTTATTTGTATTTAATGAACATGTCGACTTGACAGATTGATCGTGACTTTTGACTTGAAGAGACCCTTCGGTGGGATTGCGTTCGCTGCAGCTGTGTTCATGGCTGGCTCCCCGTCAGAACAGTACGCCTCTGAGGATGAAGGCTATCGTCTGTGACATTCTCTGTGCATTCACAGCAGCTAGATGCACGCCTGGCCCAGTACTGGAGCCCCATAAACATCTATTAGATGGACACGTGAGAATACTGAGGCACGGCTACGTACGGACATGGCCGGAGGTCACAGGAAGTTACTGGAGACTGGGGACATGAATGCGTCGTCTGACTCTTACTCTGTTGAGTTGTTCAGTGTAATACCTGGTCTCTATTCAGTATTGCTTTGTTTGTTTGTTTGTTTGTTTGTTTAGAGAGCATGAATGAGGCAGTGGCAGAGAGAGAGATTGGGAGAGAATCCCAAGCCGGCTCCACATTGTCAGCATAGAGCCTGACGCGGGGCTTGATCTCATCAACCATGATGAGATCATAACTCGAGCCAAGATCGAGAGTCAGACACTTAACCGACTGAGCCACCCAGGCGCCCCTAATCAGTACAGCTTTTAGTTCAGGGATCTGGGTCCCTACCCTGAGCTCTTTGCTTTGAAAGGAACTACTCAGGCTCCTCTCCAGTCACACCCCGACCCAGGGGACTGGGAGTACTAAGAGTACGTTATCCCACTCCACCCCTCCAGCTTGGCCTCAGCAGTGTTCAGAGGGCAGCTGTTGGGGGTGGTGGAGCTTGATGGAGTTTGTCGGGATGCCCTCCATGGGGTGGAAAGAGAAAAACAATATGGGCTAGTGCTTCTTTCTCCTTTTGCTCACGGCCCCCTCCCCCCCCCACGGCCTATCCCCATAAGTGAATCTAGTTCCCCCCGTGTAGTAAATGTCATTTAAGCCAACACTATGTGAATACCTATATTGTGCCAGATACCGTGCTGGGTATTTTCAAATGTATTTTCTCATTTTAATGTTATCCTTGCTTAATAAGGTTCAGAAGTAACTTGATAAAGGACCCACAGCTAATCAGGTGCAGAGCTAAATGCATAACCAGTATCCTCAGGAAGTGTTATGTGTCTCCCCTTACCAAACACTAATGTGTGTGTGTGTGTGTGTGTGTGTGTGTGTGTGTGTGTAGATTTTTTTATTGAGAAAATAATGTTGGAGAAAAACATGCGAACAATTTAAGAGTGTAGGTAAATAGTAGATCTCGTGTGCCAGGCCCTGAGTCAGAAATAACCAGTTAGCAATTTCTTTTGTTAAAGATACCCATATATTTTAAAACTTAGCACCAACGATTTTGAGCTTTTTTTATTTGGAAAACCTTAGATATAAGCTTTACACAGTGGAGAGGGTATAAGTATCCATCATTCAGTGTCACCAGTTCATAGCATTCTGTCATTTGTATTTCATATATTTCCCCCACTGTTACTTTTATTATCATTTTTATTTGGTGACGTAGTATTTTAAATCAAGTCCCAGATTCCATGTCCTTTTATTAAATTATATTAAGATTATATTAATATACTTACTTGAAAAGGTTTAGTTATAATGATGGAAAATATTTTGACTTTTCATGTAGAATTCTTAATTTGAAAAAACCATATACAGTTAAATACTCATTTAATCCTCTCCTTCATTTCAAAGAGGACTCAGATGGGAGCTGGGCATTTAAAACTGATTTTTGTGGCTATAAATAAAACTTCTATGTGTACGGCCCATGTTATATCATGCTGTTTTCTTTTCAGGATTCTGTGGGACCGCATTTTTTTTTTTTTTTTTTTTTTTTGTTAGAGTCAGGCCGCTCTCTGGTTTTTTCCTTTTCCCTTCCTTCGGAAGAGCTTTTCCAAACGGTAAGCAAATAAATACCTTTTTTCTTCTCACTTTTCTGAGTGATGGAACCTGAAGATGATGACTATAAAAGGGCAGGCTGTGATTTAATGTAGTGCCTTTTCTAATTCAAATGACAGCTAACTTTTTTCAAGCTGAGGTGCACGCATATCTTGGTAATAGCATTCAGAGCATGAGTGGATTATAATATATCGTGGCTTATAGAAAAGCCTATACATTAGTTCCAGGAATGTTGCTAAGGAAATATACATAAATAATGTTCCTAGTTGCCCAGAAATCTATATAATCTCCACCAACTGAGGCAAAGCCGAATTATTTATTTCTATATTGATGACAACTCTTCTTAAGTACCTATTTTCTAGGTAGCATTTAAGTCCACACTGCATTTTAATAAATTCATTTTTTTTCTGCACAGTATGCGTATCCTGAAAGCTTTTTGTCCTTCTATTAAGGAGGAGTTCATGGTGTTTTCAGGAAACTCCGGTGTGGTAAATCCCTTCTATTCTTCCGTGTTCAGTAAGAACAGAGTCCCGTCAGGAAAATTTTCGGAGTGATACTGTCTGGGAGGCTGGACTGGGGAGGGGGCTTTGAGAGACGTTGTTCCTAAATATCTATATGACAAGAGCTGAGAGGCAGCAGTCTGGGTGGAAAGAAGATTCTGGGGCTTGACTGGAAGCTGCATTTGCATAGCAAAGACATTTTCCTCACGTATGTATCCACTGTGGCTTGGTGCCGCCACTGTCTAGATTTGCGCTGTCCCACACGTGGCTTTCGGGCACTTGACGTATGCTTAATCCAAATTAGAAATGGTGTACGTGTGAAAATATGCCGGTTTTGAAAGATTTATAATGAGAAAAGGAACGTCAAATATCTCAAATATGATGTTTTATATGGATTGCACGTTGAAATGGTACATATTATAAATATACATATGTTTTAAAATAGACACTTGATTTTTTGGAGTATTTCTAGATTCGCAGCAAAATTGAGCAGAATGTTCAGAGAGTTCTTACATATCACCTCTCCCCTCATGCACGGCCTCCCTACCATCAACATCCTGCACAAGGAGTTACATTTATTGTAATCCAACCAATACTGATACATCATTATCACCAAAGTCCATGGATTTCATTAGGGTTCCCTCTTGCTGTGGTACTTGAAATAGGTTTTGACAAATGTATACTGATACGTATCCACCATTATCATAATCACACAGTGTAGTTTTGCTGCCTTAAAAATCCCTGGTGCTTCACGTATCCACCTCGTTTTCTCCTCAAACTTCTGGTGAACCCCTCATCTCGTTACTGTCTGTAGTCTTGTCGTTTGCAGGATGCAGCCTTTTCAGATTGGCTTTTTTCTCCTAGTAATGGACATTTAAGTTTCCTTCGCGTCTTTTCATGACTTGATAGCTTATTATCATTATTTCTTTTGAACTGGCCACTATTCCAATATATGAATCTACTACAGTTTTTCTGAAAGTGATCATATTTTCATAAAAGTCAATTGCATAAAATCTATTATTAAAATTATGTTTACTTGTTCCTTTTTACTTTCGTAATGCAGCTTCAAAAATAAAACTGCATAGACGGCTTACACTAGGTGTGTACTGAACAGCACTGCTCTAGACCTTGGTAAGGCGGTGTTGTTGCTGGTTTGTCTTCAAGAAAATCTTCTCATTCCAACACCTGCCTAATTTTGCTGCCCCTACAAAGAGCGTTCTCCATCTCTGGGACTTGTATGCTTTGGGTCAGTCCTTCTCTGCTGTCCTCAGACTGCTTGGGATTGCCGTGGTTCTCCCCTACCTTTCCCAAAAGAGACTTCTGTTATTCAATTCATTTTGTCAGGACCAGGTGACAACTGACGAATTGGGTCCTTTGTCACTGTATCGGGTTCTCCAGAGCATGTGAATTCTGGTGTCTGTGGCCACGTGGCTTACAATAAATTTTTCATAGAAGATGTGACACAAAGCCTTGGGAATGAACCTTTTTTTGTTAGAAATCTTTGAATGTATCTTACTTTACGTTTATAGAAGTGACTAATACATTAATACTGTTTCTAAGAACTCATTGGAATAGGAGTTCATCCTGTTGTAATCTGATTTATTCATACTCTTTGTGTTAGATCTGATGATCCTTGCATTCTCAGCGGGAGTGATATTGCCCACAAGATGGCAAAAATTGGTTCTTGGGGCATGAAAAAATCTTTTTTAAAGTATGAAACATATATATTATACACACACACACACACACACACACACCCCTTACAAAGCCATAAATTCAGCATATCTGTATATTAAAGTTTCCTGAGGAGGCAATTAGAAAAAAAAGTGTGAAAATGTTCCTTAGAGCGTTAGTTATGAGAGACATGTTGAGAAACACTGGTTTATCTGGGCTAAATTTTCCTATAGCCTGCACATTACAACCGAATGTTTTTATGACCAGTTAATCTTAAAAGTTTCTCAAGTAGGGAGAGGAGGAAAAACAGAGGAAAGATATAAAATGGTTTCTGTTTGCAGATTAGGGGAGAGGGAGAGTCTGAAGAGTGTTAGAAATCGCAGTTGATCACCAATTATTAACATTTTGCCAGATTACTACTTTTTAAATTTTATTTATTTTTTTATTTTTAAAGAGCACAAGCAGGGCAGGGGGCAGAGGAGGAGGGAGAGAGAGAGAGAGAGAGAGAATCTTAAGCAGGCTCTATGCTCAGCACAGAGCCCAAGGTGGGGCTCGATCTCACAACCCTGGGATCATGATCTGAGCTGAAATCAAGAGTCGGACCCTCGACCGACTGAGCCACTTTGGCGCCCCTGCCAGATTCTTACTGACTGATTGATTCATACATTCATCGTCTCTCTCCCTCTCCCCGCCGACCCTCCCCCCCACTCCCTGGCTTAGCTGGGCAATAGTATATGGACTTTCATTGCACTATTTCTTCAAGTGTTTTCTAGGCGTGAAATTTTTCAAAATACAAGTTGGGGTAAAATGCCATCCTTCTCCACACCCTGTCCTTACCCCCTTCTCTACCCTGATTCCACATGGGGGCCCTGGGGAACTAAGTTTCTTGGCAACATGTTCTCTTGCATATATTGCTCCCTCTCCCTGGACATATTATTTGGCCTCCTTTTCTTCCTTTACCCATACCTTTGCCTGTATAACTTCAGGCAAGAAGTCTCTGAAGGTGTTACTTCCTCCAGGAAGCCTTTCATGACCACCCAGCCCTACTTAAGCCTAGGTTAACTGTCCAGCGTATATTCCCCTTATTGTGATTGCCCTTGTCAACGTGCACATTAAACTTGTCTGTCTTCCCTGGACCGAGTTCCACGAAGGCAAGGCTTATGACTTCTTTCATTCGTCTTATTTTTCCTTGGTGGTTACCACAGGGCCTCGCACAGTATTTATTAAATAAAGCAACAATTAATTTTCCTATGAGATATACATTTGTTTTATATAATTGCATACCAAAGGGAAAACAAGAAAAATTAAAGAAGGCA